CACATTAAAGATGTAATAAGAAGCAAATTCCTACTACAAAAGTGCTGTGATTGACATGGTCTTGTCATTATCATTGAAAATAATCTTCTGGTGTGCTATAATGACAAGAGGATGTGTAATGTTATTCTGATACAAGAAAAGCCTGTGTACATTCATTGATCCAAAGAATTCTAATTCACCCTGTAGAGGAAGATAAGAATCACAGCAGCAGGCAGTTAAAAGTCCATCTAGCCCCATATCCTGACTCTGACAATGCCTAATATTTCATATTTCAGAAAAAGAAACTGTACAAATAGCTGCTTCATTGTGTGCATGTCTAAAAATGAACAGTATTAATGGTGTCTTCTTATCTCTCAGGCTTTTCACAGCCAGATGACCACTGGTGGCTTCCACAACAGTTACCATGGCAAGTGGATTTGATGTGAGGTCCAGTATGTGAATGCATTTGTACAACTCCCCTAACATCACTTCTTCTCTCTTAATATCCCACAATCTGACATCAGGAGCACCTGAAAACACACGGATCATAAGGACAGAATCACACTGTGTCTACATCTCAAATCATGCTGAAATAGCAGCAAAAGCTGAATAACCCTGTTCCAAGTAAAAGCACACATTCCCATCAGCACAGCTCCACTGTGATCCTAGGCTGCTCCCTGTCCTGCCCATCACTCGTGTTATCTCAGGCTGCTGACTGCACTTTCCATCCATTGTAGCTCTTCCTCTACATTCCCTTTTGGCATAAAGCATTCCATTATCTCCATTTTCTGCTGAGGTAATACCTTCCTAAGCCTGGGCAACAAAAACAGCCCAGACTGTGAAAAAGGCTTCATGTGGAGCACCTCTGCATCTGCAATTGCTGTGCTGCTGAACCATGTCACAAAGGTGATGGCTTCACCCACACGTTTGCAGTAAATATCTCACTTGGAACAATCTCTACAAAGATTCTGGATATGCCACCTGTGTTTTCTCAGGGTTATGATCCACGTCATTGCTCGGTGTGAACTCGTAAGGCTGAAGTGGCACCACAAGGCTCACATTCCTGTTTACAGGAATGCTCTGCCAAAAGGTGAGCTCAGATCCAGGCATGCAGTTCCCTTCAGTGTGAGGTTTTCTGGTATGAAATTCAGGTTCATCACAAGTTCAGTCTTTTTCAGTTTAATTTTTTTTCAAAAATGCACTTCACAAAGACCTCAAACCCTCAAATTACAGCCCATACAAGGAACCAGCTAAAGCAGCACATAACTAAGAACCCAAATGAGTCTATTAATTCCCTTTTCCTTTTCTGGCTTCATTCCATTGAGTTGGAACACCAAACCACGATCCGCACATGAATAATGCAGCTGCTGTTTAAGAGTTGATTCAACAACAGGAATTTGTATCCTCTCTCCATGTCATATATTTATAGGAATATTCCTGACCACCTTGCTTTGAAGTCACTGAAATGCAGAGGGGTACATGATACAATTGTAGGAAGCTCTTCCTCCAGAGGAACACTTCCAGAGGGCCACTCTAATTGTGCAGGAGCCACAACCCCAATAAACCTTTCTGTCCCCAGGGGACAGCAGGATGAAGAGATGTTCTAACCACATCCATTATTTTTCTCTACTCACACTCCTTGCAAAACCTATAGCAGCTGTAAACATCCAAAACCACCCTGGAGCAGTCCTCTGCTGCCCAGCTGAGCGCTGGATTTAGATCACTTTTATATGCAGGAACGAGCTGTAACAGATCCTGCACTCTGAATCACTATATAAATATTTAAGTAAACAACAGGTCACTTGAGTGTTTTCTGTACCAGCTCATGAAACAACACGATGGTCCATCACGTGCTGGGATGCAATCCTGGTGCACAGAACTGGGGACATTTATCCTGTGGGCCTGCTTGGTGCTGCCACCTCATGAGGTGACAGAGAAGGTCCTGGCTCTGCAGGAAGGACCCTCTGCAGCTTGCACCACCACCTTTCCCTCTGCCCAGCCTCCTGAGGCAGGGATGGGACACACCTCTCTCATCCTCAGAAGGTAAGGATGGGATGTGTGGCAGTTGTGTGAGCCCATGACTCAGTGCACGAGCCTTGATGGTTTGTTTCTCTGTCATCAGCCTCGTGCAACCTACTGTCCTTCCTCTGCCTCAGATTTCCACAGGGGCCCTCTACTCTCATTTGTGATTTTTCCATTTTCCAGACATAACCTTGAGCTGACATTGGTCTTTTGGCCTTCAAGACAGTTGTGGTTTGTTGAACTGGGCTGTGTGAACTAACACCTGCCCAGATAAAGCCCTCAGATTGCTGGGCAAGTACCTCAGAATTTGCTTTTCTCAATACAAATACAGTACAACCCTTAAAAACATCCATCCTGGTGCTTTACACACTGGCTGTACTGACGTACACAGACTAGCTGGGCAACATCACTTAGAAAAGCATCTCTGGCTCCTCTCAATCTCCTCTCTCTAAATGTCACTTAATTGTCTAAGGAAAATTTGGCTGACCTTTCAATTACTGGTAATAGAATAAAAGCAATAAAAGACTGTCCATGACAGCAAGTGTCACCAGCACCCATTCGTTGCCTTCTCGTGCTGACTGGGAGGCCAGGGAGAATTCCTGCTGCACTCAGGGCTGCAGCTCTGGCACAGTGCTGATAAAGGAACTCACTGGTAAAAGGCCAGGAACTAGGGAAAGAAAGGAATTGTCTCCCATGCTTCCCTGTCCTGACTCCATAAACAACTCCAGAATGAGGATTTCTGGGTATCTGGGAAAACAAAAGCCCTTATATTCTGAGGGCTTTTGTGGAACTCCAGAGCCTGTAATATCTGCTTTCAGGGGTAAATGTTGCTCTCAGCCAACTGCTTCCTAATATCTGCCAGAGCCACTGAGACAGCTGAAATTCCTTGCAGATAAAGGATGAGGTAAATGTACAAATCCCCCCTCCCATGCAGAGAAGGCAGGATTTGCATACTGTTCACCCACACACATCCTGGCTCATGGCTCTTCCACTGAACTCAGCTGCAGCTCAGACACTGGGGTTTTGCCCCTTGTGTTGGTACTGGCTAAGAAAGATGCCTGAATGGACGTTAAAGCACAACAATCTCAAATAAGGACTGCAATTTGCAAATTAGCTGTTAGCAGCTCTCATAAACACTTCCCCAAGTCCTCTTCCAGTAGCAGAAATAGCTCTTCACTCTCTAAGCTGCCAGGCTATTAAGACCAGAAAGGCTTAGTTGGCAAACTCCTGGTGCCTGACTCATGATGAAGAGCTGTGTCTCAGCTCCCTTCACGCAGGAAGAAGACAGCAAATACTCATCAAATTTCTCACTTCCTTCCCAGCTCCAGCTTGGATTCTTGGAAAACAGAAACCTTCTTGGCACAAGAAGCTGTTACTGAGACCATTTCTTATCTTATATCTTCCACCAAAAAAAAAAAAAAGGTTATTTACATATTGTGTGTCCTTCCCGTTGTGGAAAGTTGGAATAATTTCCACACTTTCCAAAACTCTTCTGGCAGGTTCAAGCCCTGACAGCCCTGTTTACAACATAAGAACTGAAATGAGTTAAAATATAATTACTTCATGTAGAAACTATCCAACTAAATTCAGTGACCTGACCACAGCAGCCATTTCTAAATTAACCAGCAGAGCCAGGATATTAGCAGCTACTGCAGGAAGATGTTCTCCTACTTCCTTTCCCTTCATGATGAGTCTGTGATTATTGCCAGAGCTGTTCACAGCTTTGTGGATACTCTCCAATGAGACCTTTTCTTTGTGTATTCTTTACTCTTACAAGCTAATTTTTGCATTATCCAAGTTTTTCAGGCAGCTCTTTCTAACACAGTCCTGAATAAAGCAGCAAAATGAATGGAATTAAATATAATCAAGCATGTTAATATATCTCCTGCTCTGTCACACCTACTCCCACATTTAGATAACCAGGCACACACAAACACCCACACTGTGAGTGTTCATCTCCTCTTCCTTCCTTCTGGCTTGTCAGAGACTAAAATAGTCATGTAGTGGCTTCCACCATTCATGCCACAACGTCACTGTGTGGGCAAGTTAAAATGCCTCAAACACCAAAAAGATGGGTTGATGAGAAAACCAATCACTCCATGATAATTATAACAAGTACTGGGTTCTGATTTTTGCTGGAAAAAAGAAGATATATTAAAGGGCAAACAAACATCTGGAACAAGTATCACCTGACTGTGACAAAATGTGCCTATTAACTGTGTCCTCTACAGGCTAATTGCTGGAGTTACTGAAGCCTCCCAGCTCTCCCTAATTCTGGGTAATGTTTTGTTTCATAAGCAATTTGCCATGTTTATTCATTTCCCTATCTAGCTCATTTGCACTTGCAAAGAATGAAAGGGAGGCAATGTTTGAATGGTCGCATAAACCCATAAGAGAATTAATTACTTTTATAGAGGATCTAATTCATGCAGGAAAAAGGGAGTTGTGGGATTTTGATTTTTTTTTTCCCCACTGCATCATACTCTCAAAATCAGTCTGCATGCACACATATTGTAACTAATGAAATTCATCAAATAAGCAAATATTCAGTCTGCACATCCAATCATGGTCTCTTGGCTGACTACAAAACTAACCTGATACTTGTCAATGTGAAAAACTGCATACAAGGAAAAGATTGATGCAAAACTAAGCATGTCTAAGTTTAATTGAACTTTAAAAATACCAAAATAGCACAGTTTTATACACCACAATTCCCAACTACAATGCAACATTTACAGTTTCTGTCAATATTTATTTCAAACACACAAAGGGATGTGAACAGGCAACAATTCTTTAAATGTTCAAACAACCATCACCATAACAGAGTTATTTTCTTTACATAATTTTCATCATGAGCTGGACAATGCATGGCCAATGGTTGAAATAATACCCATGAGTTCACCCCATCTGTAAGCACATTCCTTTTCCCCAGGTCACTATTGATTAACATGGATGAGTGTATGAACCTATAACAAATAAAAAGTGTTCCAAAGGCCTACCTGGCTCTTGGCAAATTCCTCACAGAAGGAACTCTCAATATGAGACTACATTTCATGGGAACCACGGGCGCTCTGTGAAAACCTAGATTTATCTCATTGGCTATTTATTTAAAAGCCAAGGGCCGAGGACAAGTTTTGCTAATTTCAGTAATTAACTGAGTCAGCTGGGAAGCACCAGGCCGGCGTTTTGCAGCGCCCCAGAGGGATGGAGGAATGCAGGAAGATGCAGCTGTGAGGAGCTTCCAGCAGGCAGGTGACGGAGCAGGAAATGACTCCTCGGTCACCCGTGGAAAAGCCATCACCCACCCCACACACCTCCCGGGAGATGCCTGGGCCACCGTAAAACGCCACGAGGCCAAGAACAGCATTAATTGCAGTACGTGTCCAGAGGAATCGAAGCGTTTTGGTTTGCAGCACGTCTGGGGTGGGTGAGGGTTCCCTCACCACTGTGGGAATGATGATTCTGCCCGCGCCCACCCATCACCTCAGACACATTCACCACTCTTCCACTGCCCACTGGGGTTTCCTAAGCTTCTGCCTCTAAACATAACAGCAAAGCTTTGCATTTATTCTTTATTCTGTCTCCCAAGAGTTACCAATGGATGATGTGCTCAGGTGGGACAGCACACAGCGGAGTGCACCCATTTCGCTGCCCAGGTACCAAGAGGGGTTGTAATAACAAGTTCTTGAACCAGAGCGCTTTTTGCGTTACAAGGTGCAGAAACACACATGATTTGTGTGGACACGAGGTTTCCACACTGTAGGCAGGTAATCCCCAGGCAAAGCAGAGGGGGAGCAGCAGCACCACATCGTTTTTCCATACTTCACAGTCCCAGCCAGCCCGGCTGTCAGCGGGAGAGGCTGAGACCGCCCCAGAGCGCCACGCTGCCTCCCTCTCTCCCAGGGCAGCACCCGGGGGACACCGAGAGACACGGTATCCCCTCAGCGCGGGGTCACCAAGGGCACACGGCTTTCCCAGAGCGCTGGGCTGGCGGGCAGCCCAAAGGAAGGGGCGAAGCGAGGGCCAAGACCCCGAACCGCCGCCACCACCGCCCGGGTTCCGTCACGGAGGGGCGTGAAGGGGTGAGCGGTGAGGGCCCCGCCCCCGGCCCCGCCCCCGCTCCCTGTTTACCCACAGGCTGTGCACGTGGTGGCCGCGCCGCGCCATTGGCCCGCGCGCCGGGGCCCTGCCGCCGCCCCGCCAATCGCCGCGCTGTCCACGCGCCCTCGCCCGCACGCGATTGGCCCCGGCGCGGCGATCACGCAGCGTGACGCACTCCGGGCGTGCGCCCGCCGAGTACCAATGAGGCGGGGGCGGCGGGCGCGGTTCCCCCGCGGCCGGGGAGCGATGGCGGCGGCCGGGCCGGGCCCCGGGGCCGGCGGCGCGGTGAAGACGCTGGCCCTGGTGCTGGAGGACGAGGCCCGGCGCGGCGGAGGCGGCGGCTATTGCAGCGGGGACACGGTGTCCGGGCAGGTGCTGCTGGAGCTGGCGGGGCCGCTGCCGCTCCGCGGGCTGCGCCTGGAGGCCGCGGGCCGGGCGCGCGTCGCTTGGAGCGAGAGCCCCGGCGCGGTGCCCGGGGCGGGCACGTGGGGGGTGGCGGTGCGGACGCCGGGGCCGGGGCCGCGGCGGGAGGCGGAGGTGCGGTACCTGGACATCCGGCAGAGCCTGCTGCGGGACCCGCCCGAAGGTGAGGCGGGACGGGGGGGCGCGGGCCCGGCCGCTCCCGCAGCCGCGGCGGGGGTGGGACCGGGCAGGGCTGGGCGAGGCGGAGGGGGATCGCTCCGGGTGGAAATGGGCACCGGGGGCCGGAGGAGCGGGTGGAGGGCACCGGCAGGACAGCGCTGCCGCAGCGCTCCGCCCTGCGCCCGGGACGGTCTCTCCTCATCGCGGCCACGCCGTTTGTTGCCTGTGTGGGGGGTGAAAAACGCCGAGCGGGACTGGAATAAAGTAAAATAAACTGAAATGAAATGCGCAGCTCGATTCCCTGCGCTGTGTGGGCGTCGTGCCGGGGCTCGGCCCTTCCGTGGGTCCGCCGGGCCCTCGGCGCTGGGTGCGCGGTGCCGGCAGCGCCTGCGGAGCTGCCGTGGAAGAGCCTGGAAGCAGCCGGCGGATGGAGGCAGCCGGGGAAGCTGCTGTGCCGGAGCTCTGCCGCTCACACACTGCTGCGTTGAAAAAAAAAAAAAAATTAAAGACAGCCCAACGACATTTCGTTGCATGGTGAAACGCAGCTCAGGCTGATCTGTAGGGAAAGCAGATTTAGGCCTTGTGAATTGTGTGGCAGTAGGCCCTGTATGAATAAATTGGGAGCTAACGTATTTATAGTGTTTCTTCATGCTGACCGTAAATTGCAGGTTTTTCGGCACAGAAGTTAAATTGTTAATTGGAAAGGTAGATTAATTGCTGTCCTGCTGAAAAGAAACTTGCTTTATGCTTTGCAGAAGCCATTTTGGATTAGAAATTGGCCAGAGTCCTGAATTGAATCGCAAGGTCTCCCATGTTTCCTTGATTCTTGTTTTTCATTGAAATCACATCACAGCATAAATAAAGTATGGGCCACAGTCCAGAACCCACTGGGATCAATAAAAACTTCTTGCATCTGGGTGTTTTCGTACATAAATAATTTATAAAAGTGTCTGCTTTGTTCTATTTCTGGAATAACTAAAACATACTATTCATTCTCATCCTACAGGTGAGGAAAACTTAATTCTTCTAGATGGAAGACACGAATTTCCGTTCAGCTTTCAGCTCCCTCAAGAGTAAGTTCAGTAATCCAACCTGAAGGGATTGTGCTGGATGCTGCTTGTAGTGGAACATTAACTTAATGTAGTTTGACTTGTGTTTTTTTTAGTATCAGCTTTATATATTTGTCTTAATCAAGCACCACGCAGACAGGCCTCGCTTGCTTCAGCTTCCCCAAGGCCCTAAAAGTACAAGCTGTGAATTGGGAAATGTTTATTGTGTGCAGGAAGTGTTAATGTTTGGAGCTGAATTATTAATTGAAGGTATTGCTTTTATGACTGCTTGTTTCAGACCTCTGGTGACCTCTTTTACTGGGAAGTATGGCAGTATCCAGTACTACGTGAAAGCAGTGCTGGAGAGGCCTGCTGTGCCTGACCAGAGTGTGCAGACAGAGCTGCAGATCATCAGCCATATCGATGTCAGCTCACCAGCTCTCTTGGTAAGAGGGTCCCCCACTTCTCCTCCGCCCTGTAAAACCAGCTGCAAATAAACCATTCCCAAGCAGCATTCACATCCAGCCATAACCCTTCCCATGTTATTCCAGAGCATCATTTTCTGACTTCTGAAAGCATATAAGCTCCCTAAGCTTTTCTCTATAAATAGATTATCTTAGGTTGTGTGAATAGCAAACAGAGTGGCTTTTTTAATACCATTTATTACATCCCTGCTGGCAGAGATGCTCCTGCCAAAAAGTTAGGCAGGCTTCAGATGCATAAATCAGGCTTAATAATAGTAATGTGTGTGTGCAGAGTAGTTACTCTTACCAGAGCAACTACATTCACAGGGCTGCAGTGTCCTAAACTCTACAATAATAGTAGGTTGAGGAGCAGTAATTAGAGAGAGTATTAATCATGCCCAGCCTGTCATTTAGGCTCTGGCCATTATGTTACGTATCCCTGCATTTTGCATGTCGTTTTCTAACATGAAGTGTGTGCATGCAGCTGCTCCAGAGATCCTTTCAGTTATTTCCCTGTGACAGATTTGGCCACATTAAAGCATTGAGTTTTTATAATCACTGGAAATACTGTAGAGTAATAAGAAAGATCAGGCATTAAGTAATGAGTAAATAGGCAAGATGGAAGCTAATGAGCTGGATTCTTTTATCTCAGCCCATATTATGAAAATAATATAAAATTATACCTTGCACTTTCATGATAGCAACTGGATCTAAATGGTTATTCATTTAAATATGAATGAGTCATTTCTATTTTATTTAAAATGGTAGGATAATTTTAACATCATGACGTGAACATAGAAAAGAGATGTTTTGAGCAGGCTTTTTTCCCCCTCATTACATGCTTACATTTTAATCCATTCTAGAGAGAACTTAGGGTATTTTGGCAGTGACATCTGTAAGCAGAATAGTCTTTATCATTCAGTAGTTAGGAGTTTGAAGGCATCATACCCACATTCTGTAAGGACAAAGCACACCATAGGTTATTGCACAGAAGACACATCAGGAGGGCAGTGCCAGTCTTAATGGATTCCAAAGCTACCACCAAAAATGCAAAACAACAGGGTTTTTTCATTATAATGAAGAAAATAAAAAACCACTTTGCGTTATTGTATTGACTGAGTGTCACTGCCCAGTAAATCATTTTGAGTAGCTTTGATCCTGCCTTGGATACTTGGCATGTGTGCTTGTGAGTTTATTCTAATGAAAACATTACAGGCAGTGTAAATGTCATCCAGTGTGACAGCCCTTGAATAATTAAGATGGTTTTTGTCATGCTTCTGCATTTTTGGGGATGTTTTGTGGCTTGCAGGTAATGAGGGTGCATCCCCTTAGCCCAGTATCTATATATATTTATCCCTTCTTGGAGATACAAAAGTAAAAACAAATTACCTGCTTAACTGTTAGTTGTTTGCAGATAAAATTAACTCTGCATTCTTCTGCCTTGAGAAACAGGGAGATAAACACCACAGTACTCCATTGGGGATGTTTTGTGGCTTGCAGGTAATGAGGGTGCATCCCCTTAGCCCAGTGTCTATATATATTTGTCCTTTCTTAGAGACACAAAAGTAAAAACAAATTACCTGCTTAACTGTTAGTTGTTTGCAGATAAAATTAACTCTGCATTCTTCTGCCTTGAGAAACAGGGAGATAAACACCACAGTACTCCATAAGACCTGTAAAAAGTTCATTTTGAAGACCAAGCACATACAAAGACACTGGTCTGTGTTATTTAGCACAGTCTAAATACAGACTTGGGATTTCAAAAGAGAAATGTTCAGATTGCCAAACCTTGGCTCCATTTCACATGGTGGCAAAAACTGCAGTTGCACTGAGCAGTTCAGGGATTTGGATCACGTGGATTTTAGAGCTGGGTTGCAATGACTGATACGCATAACACTGAAACTGCAAGTGATTGAGAGCTTTGTCCCATAAAATGAAACATACTCTATATTTTATAGACACCTGTTCTAAGAAGTCAGGAGAAGATGGTTGGCTGTTGGTTTTTCACCTCTGGGCCAGTGTCTCTCAGTGCCAAAATTGAGAGGAAGGGATACTGTAATGGTAAGAGCAGTTATATTAAAAATGTGAATACTAAGCATTTAATAGATTGGGATTTTTTTTAATCTCAGTGAAGCCAACACTTTGTAGTTCAAGGAATAATTCTGTTTAATAGAAGTAAATTAAGATCCATATGAATTTAATTTTTTTTAAAAATCATCTTACCTTTCCCCTTGGGAATATAAATTTGAAAGGAAGTCCTGTTAATAATCTTATGGAAAATCCACGTACATTTGTGTGTAAAGAACACCAAAATGTTTTTATCTGGGGATAAAATACTTAACTGGGATGTAGTTAGGTTTTTACATCCTATTTTTGTAGGTTTACACTTTGGTAAGAATGAGCTTTAGCAGCTTCTTCTTCATCTTGATAACTTTGGATACATTGAGAAAATAAAACATCCTGAAATTCATTTAATATGAATTTCTATATAAAAGGACGATTGGGGTGTAATTTGCAAATAAAGTTTTATAGCTTGTTCATATTATGTTTAATGTTTCAAAATGAATCACTGTTTATGTGTAAAACATAGTAGGTGGCTATAATTTTGCCTAGATACTACTCTGAAAAAAATAAACTGGCTTGAGGAAACTTACCAGGTATTGTTCTCATAACACTGCAGATGATGTACGTGCTGTGCAACATGCTTTGATACTCCCAGAGGAAAGTTGGTAAATACCAATTATTCATTGGACTTTTTCTGTCTCTAAGGGGAAGCCATCCCAATCTATGCAGAAATTGAGAACTGCTCTTCTCGTTTGATTGTTCCAAAAGCTGCCATTTTCCAAACACAAACTTACCTGGCCAGTGGGAAGACAAAAACCTTCCGTCAGATGGTTGCCAATGTCCGAGGAAACCACATTGCCTCTGGGAGTACAGATACCTGGAATGGGAAAACTCTGAAAATCCCACCTGTATCCCCATCTATACTTGACTGCTGCATTATTAGAGTAGAATATTCTTTAGCTG